AGGGGTAGTCCACGGGAAACACGGAGGAGATGCGTGGAAAGGGACATGAGAAAAATGAAGCTCACTTGAAACGAGCTTGGAAGGATGGCTCTGGGCAGACATAAATGGAAGGAGCTTGTATGTAGCCTATACCCTGCCAGGGGTGAAAAGCATTGATGATGATGATGATTGTTATTATTATTATTATTAATATTATTATGTTACTGTTGTACGTTGTTGCCTATACTGTGATGTAAAGCGCTCAGCAGAGTTTGTGTACTTTAATCGGGGTTGAGCGCTATATATAATATAAATGTCATTTTAAATATTGTTATATTATTATTGTTATTGTAGATATTTTACCCCCTCATCGACACATTTTAGCTCATTTTCTTGGTCTAACGCCATTCCCAAAATCATTAGTAGGATGCTGCGATGACAGTGTAAGTTCGTTTAGTTTTAGTAAGAGTTTTACGGCACTTGCAACACAATAAAATAAAGTCATTTAAGTGCCGAAGATTAGAGGTATTACAAGAGAGTAGTTTACTTTTAGTAAAAGTTTTACGGCACTTGCAACACAATAAGGTCATTTAAGTGACGAAGATTAGAGGTATTACAAGAGAGTAATAAACACAAAAAAGGAGGACAGATAAATATATATATATATATATATATATATATATATATATATATATATATATATACATAAGCTCAACACCTGTGCTATATAACAATGGTAGAAGACAAAAGCAGAAAACACAACAAAATAATAATTGATTCCGTGTTTTTATGAGAAAGCGGTCACATTTTGCGAAAAGAAGGAGGAGTAAGAGGTAGAGGTGAAGATGAAGAAGGAGGAGGAGCAGGAAGTGGAGAAGGGGTAGGGGAGGAGGTGGAAGAGGAAGATAAACAGAGAGACAAAGAGAGAGCAACAGAGAGAGAGAGAGAGAGAGAGAGAGAGAGAGAGAGAGGGGGGGTGAGAGCGCGCGCGAGAGACACACATACAGACAGAGAGAGAGGGAGAGAGAGATGGTGGGAAAAGGGGGGGGGAGGGGAGTAATTACAGTACACCATGCCAAAGCACCCCTGCCCCTCTATACTCTAAACAATACACTCACGTGCACATACATACACTTACACACAAAAACACATGTTATTATGGTTGCTATATGAACAGGCAACCGGAGGTAGCGAGTTCGGCGGTTGGAGCCTCAAGCCTGACGTTGTGTCCTTGGGAAAGGCACTTTACACGAATTGTCCTCACTTCACCCAGTAGGGAATAGGCACTCGGTCATAGACAGTAAATTATCTTGTCAGTTTGTGTTTTAGCGCTTAGAAATGGCCGCTTGCACTACTCAGTATGCTTCCAAAGAAGTTGAAAATTGTTTCCGAATGTTATCAGGTCTGCTGGGGTATAATAATATGTGAAGCCTGCTGACAAAATGAGTTACTTCTCGGATTTAAGCCTTAAGGAAATAATATATATCATGTATATAGGTGAAGTTTTTACAATTTATAAGTATGAAGTAATAAAAGACAGTTAAAGAATGTGGCATCAATAGAAAATCTACAAATTTGACCCTAATGTCAATTTTTAGCGAGAGAAGTAACTCATTTTGTCAGCACGCCTCACATAGATTGTAAAGCGCAAAGAGTAGCTTGCTGTTGAGCGGGGATTTGCGCTATACAAATGCTACCCATCTATCCAGCTTTTGGGCCCCCTGACAGAGCTCCGACCTACGACTTTTTCGTTGCAAGCCCAACAGTCAACAGCCTGACAACAAGACCACAGACGCCACAATTATATGTACATGTTAACATACAGATCCCTGTACATTAACGAGTGGACTTGAAACTTGGAAGAACAACTATCAAACATAAATACGATATAATAGACCTAATAAGTTTTCAATTGGTCGCTTTTAAGGACAAGCGAGCTGACCTAGATTTCGGGGGTTTCCAGAAATCTTGATCTTCACCAAAAGTGGGCATTGCCATACCTGTAGGAGAAATTTGGTTTCATTGGTGTGTATGTTTATTTGCTTACAGAGAAAACTCTCCTTGTCTTTTAAAGAAACTGAACAAGGGGCAAAAACTTTACCTTTGATTTTCTGAAAACAGCATTTTTCGGGATAGCCCGCTTGTGCTTAAAAGCGACAAATTTAGAGGGTAAAGAAACACAGCTGGGTACTGGTGCACATATTTTATTGCAAATAATATAAGGACAGGAGCAGCAACAAAGGACATTTTTTTCTTAAAATCGGATCGCATTTGTAATGTATAAAACGAAAATTAATAACAAGGTGCCTTCTATGACTATACAAAGAGCTAAAAACATTTTCATTCTCAGTATATTAGATTTTCCAGTATTACATAAACAATATCTGGTGTGATCAAAATGTTAAACAAGTCACACAACTCTAGCATAAATCACAAATGTGTTCCATGTTTTGAAATCTGACAATTACTAAGGCTACTTGATATATATATATATATATAGCCAGAAAGGATACCCCCAAACA